AGTATTCACCCCCCTTGGCATTCTTCCTATTTTGTTGCCTTACAACCTGGAATTAAAATGGATTTTTGGGGGGTTTGTATCATTTGATTGACACAACATGCCTACCACTTTGAAGATGCAAAATATTTTGGGGGGTGAAACTAACAAGAAATAAGACAAAATAACAGAAAACTTGAGCGTGCATAACTATTCACCCCCCCAAAGTCAATACTTTGTAGAGCCACCTTTTGCAGCAATTGCAGCTGCAAGTCTCTTGGGGTATGTCTCTATAAGCTTGGCACATCTAGCCACTGGGATTTTTTCTCATTCTTCAAGGCAAAACTGCTCCAGCTCCTTCAAGTTGGATGGGTTCCGCTGGTGTACAGCAATCTTTAAGTCATACCACAGATTCTCAATTGGATTAAGGTCTGGGCTTTGACTAGGCCATTCCAAGACATTTAAATGTTTCCCCTTAAGCCACTCGAGTGTTGCTTTAGCAGTATGCTTAGGGTCATTGTCCTGCTGGAAGGTGAACCTCCGTCCCAGTCTCAAATCTCTGGAATACTGAAACAGGTTTCCCTCAAGGATTTCCCTGTATTTAGCACCATCCGTCATTCCTTCAATTCTGACCAGTTTCCCAGTCCCTGCCGATGAAAAACATCCCACAGCATGATGCTGCCACCACCATGCTTCACTGTGGGGATGGTGTTCCCGAGGTAATGAGAGGTGTTGGGTTTGCGCCAGACATAGCGATTTTCCTTGATGGCCAAAAAGCTCAATTTTAGTCTCATCTGACCAGAGTACCTTCTTCCATATGTTTGGGGAGTCTCCCACATGCCTTTTGGCGAACACCAAACGTGTTTGCTTATTTTTTTCTTTAAGCAATGGCTTTTTTCTGGCCACTCTTCCGTAAAGCCCAGCTCTGTGGAGTGTATGGCTTAAAGTGGTCCTATGGACAGATACTCCAATCTCTGCTGTAGAGCTTTGCAGCTCCTTCAGGGTTATATTTGGTATCTTTGTTGCCTCTCTGATTAATGCCCTCCTTGCCTGGTCCGTGAGTTTTGGTGGGTGGCCCTCTCTTGGCAGGTTTGTTGTGGTGCCATATTCTTTCAATTTTTTAATAATGGATTTAATGGTGCTCCGTGGGATGTTCAAAGTTTCAGATATTATTTTATAACCCAACCCTCATCTGTACTTCTCCACAACTTGGTCCCTGACCTGTTTGGAGAGCTCCTTGGTCTTCATGGTGCAGCTTGCTTGCTTGGTGGTACCCCTTGCTTAGTTGTGTTGCAGACTCTGGGGCCTTTCAGAACAGTTGGATATATACTAAGATCATGTGACACTTAGATTGCACACAGGTGTACTTTATTTAACTAATTACAGTGAGGGAAAAAAGTATTTGATCCCCTGCTGATTTTGTACGTTTGCCCACTGACAAAGAAATGATCAGTCTATAATTGTAATGGTAGGTTTCTTTGAACAGTGAGAGACAGAATAACAACCAAAAAATCCAGAAAAACGCATGTCAAAAATGTTATAAATTGATTTGCATTTTAATGAGGGAAATAAGTATTTGACCCCCTCTCAATCAGAAAGATTTCTGGCTCCCAGGTGTCTTTTATACAGGTAACGAGCTGAGATTAGGACCACACTCTTAAAGGGAGTGCTCCTAATCTCAGCTTGTTACCTGTATAAAAGACACCTGTCCACAGAAGCAATCAATCAATCAGATTCCAAACTCTCCACCATGGCCAAGACCAAAGAGCTCTCCAAGGATGTCAGGGACAAGATTGTAGACCTAAACAAGGCTAGAATGGGCTACAAGACCATCGCCAAGCAGCTTGGTGAGAAGGTGACAACAGTTGGTGCGATTATTCGCAAATGGAAGAAACACAAAATAACTGTCAATCTCCCTCGGCCTGGGGCTCCATGCAAGATCTCACCTCGTGGAGTTGCAATGATCATGAAAACGGTGAGGAATCAGCCCAGAACTACACGGGAGGATCTTGTCAATGATCTCAAGGCAGCTGGGACCATAGTCACCAAGAAAACAATTGGTAACACACTACGCCGTGAAGGACTGAAATCCTGCAGCGCCCGCAAGGTCCCCATGCTCAAGAAAGCACATATACAGTGGGGAGAACAAGTATTTGATACACTGCCGATTTTGCAGGTTTTCCTACTTACAAAGCATGTAGAGGTCTGTAATTTTTATCATAGGTACACTTCAACTGTGAGAGACAGAATCTAAAACAAAAATCCAGAAAATCACATTGTATGATTTTTAAGTAATTAATTTGCATTTTATTGCATGACATAAGTATTTGATACATCAGAAAAGCAGAACTTAATATTTGGGATTTTGGCCCACTCCTCCATACAGACCTTCTCCAGATCCTTCAGGTTTCGGGGCTGTCGCTGGGCAATACGGACTATCAGCTCCCTCCAAAGATTTTCTATTGGGTTCAGGTCTGGAGACTGGCTAGGCCAATCCAGGACCTTGAGATGCTTCTTACGGAGCCACTCCTTAGTTGCCCTGGCTGTGTGTTTCAGGTCGTTGTCATGCTGGAAGACCCAGCCACGACCCATCTTCAATGCTCTTACTGAGGGAAGGAGGTTGTTGGCCAAGATCTCGCGATACATGGCCCCATCCATCCTCCCCTCAATACGGTGCAGTCATCCTGTCCCCTTTGCAGAAAAGCATCCCCAAAGAATGATGTTTCCACTTCCATGCTTCACGGTTGGGATGGTGTTCTTGGGGTTGTACTCATCCTTCTTCTTCCTCCAAACACGGCGAGTGGAGTTTAGACCAAAAAGCTCTATTTTTGTCTCATCAGACCACATGACCTTCTCCCATTCCTCCTCTGGATCATCCAGATGGTCATTGGCAAACTTCAGACGGGCCTGGACATGCGCTGGCTTGAGCAGGGGGACCTTGCGTGCGCTGCAGGATTTTAATCCATGACGGCGTAGTGTGTTACTAATGGTTTTCTTTGAGACTGTGGTCCCAGCTCTCTTCAGGTCATTGACCAAGTCCTGCCGTGTAGTTCTGGGCTGATCCCTCACCTTCCTCATGATCATTGATGCCCCACGAGGTGAGATCTTGCATGGACCCCAGACCAAGGGTGATTGACCATCATCTTGAACATTTTCTAATAATTGCGCCAACAGTTGTTGCCTTCTCACCAAGCTGCTTGCCTATTGTCCTGTAGCCCATCCCAACCTTGTGCAGGTCTACAATTTTATCCCTGATGTCCTTACACAGCTCTCTGGTCTTGGCCATTGTGGATAGGTTGGAGTCTGTTTGATTGAGTGTGTGGACAGGTGTCTTTTACACAGGTAACGAGTTCAAACAGGTGCAGTTAATACAGGTAATGAGTGGAGAACAGGAGGGCTTCTTAAAGAAAAACTAACAGGTCTGTGAGAGCTGGAATTCTTACTGGTTGGTAGGTGATCAAATACTTATGTCATGCAATAAAATTTAAATTAATTACTTAAAAATCATACAATGTGATTTTCTGGATTCCGTCTCTCACAGTTGAAGTGTACCTATGATAAATATTACAGACCTCTACATGCTTTGTAAGTAGGAAAACCTGCAAAATCGGCAGTGTATCAAATACTTGTTCTCCCCACTGTACATGCCCGTCTGAAGTTTGCCAATGAACATCTGAATGATTCAGAGGAGAACTGGGTGAAAGTGTTGTGGTCAGATGAGACCAAAATCGAGCTCTTTGGCATCAACTCAACTCGCCGTGTTTGGAGGAGGAGGAATGCTGCCTATGACCCCAAGAACACCATCCCCACCGTCAAACATGGAGGTGGAAACATTATGCTTTGGGGGTGTTTTTCTGCTAAGGGGACAGGACAACTTCACCGCATCAAAGGGACGATGGACGGGGCCATGTACCGTCAAATCTTGGGTGAGAACCTCCTCCCCTCAGCCAGGGCATTGAAAATGGGTCGTGGATGGGTATTCCAGCATGACAATGACCCAAAACACACGGCCAAGGCAACAAAGGAGTGACTCAAGAAGAAGCACATGAAGGTCCTGGAGTGGCCTAGCCAGTCTCCAGACCTTAATCCCATAGAAAATCTGTGGAGCTGAAGGTTCGAGTTGCCAAACGTCAGCCTCGAAACCTTAATGACTTGGAGAAGATCTGCAAAGAGGAGTGGGACAAAATCCCTCCTGAGATGTGTGCAAACCTGGTGGCCAACTACAAGAAACGTCTGACCTCTGTGATTGCCAACAAGGGTTTTGCCACCAAGTACTAAGTCATGTTTTGCAGAGGGGTCAAATACTTATTTCCCTCATTAAAATGCAAATCAATTTATAACATTTTTGACATGCGTTTTTCTGGATTGTTTTGTTGTTATTCTGTCTCTCACTGTTCAAATAAACCTACCATTAAAATTATAGACTGATCATTTCTTTGTCAGTGGGCAAACGTACAAAATCAGCAGGGGATCAAATACTTTTTTCCCTCACTGTATGTGACTTCTGAAGGTAATTGGTTGCACAATATCTTATTTAGGGGCTTCATAGCAAAGGGGGTGAATACATATGTACGCACCAATTTTCCGCTATTTATTTTTTAGAATTCTTTGAAACAAGTAATTTTTTTCATTTCACTTCACCAATTTGGACTATTTTGTGTATGTCCATTACATGAAATCCCAAAAAAATCAATTTAAATTACAGGTTGTAATGCAACAAAATAGAAAAAACGCCAAGGGGGATGAATACTTTTGAATCGCACTGTACCTGGAAGACCGTCAGTACTTTCCTGTCACTCCGAATCTTTGGGCAAGAAGATTCTCCGATTTTATATGAACTGCGGGGCGCGTCCTACCACGCTGTCACGTCACCGGCGTGATTTTGTTATTATTACTCGACCTGTGCGGAGCGCGAGAGATATAATCCATAATTTCAACCGTACTGACAGTCTTCAAGGTATTCGTAGAACCATAGTTACATTCGTAGCTTACGTTTGTATTAACAAAGTCATTAGATGCTTTACCTGCTGTGTGCAGGCCTGGACCATGTTTGGTGGAAACATGTTTCTGAAATGAAAGAGCATGATCATCACAATCAAATGAACACAGGGGTACAATGGCACAAAAACAGTTCATATTTCCTCCACCAAACCCCTGACCCTCCTCCTACAGTAGTATGCAGCTAGCTACCTGATGAGATCCAAGAAGGCGTCGGCAGGGCTGATGTCCTCTATCTTCGACTGTTTCATGAACTCATCCTTAGATCCTTTCCCAGGGTGGATCATGAGCACCACAATGATGCCTATGATGACAGCGATAATGGTGGTGGTCATGTAATACACCACAGCTCGCATACCCATCTTTCCTGAAGCCTTACTGTCCAGCGCTGCCATGCCTGGTTAGGAGAGACAGAGGAGATGTTGTTTAGAAGAACAGTATTATCCCATTGTGCAACATTTCTAACATTTCTTCATAGCAGTGGCATGAAAACACTTGAAATAGCAATTGCCTGTAGCCATATTAGCCTGCATTCTGGCTAGCTCCTGAAGCTATGCTGATGTGTTGGATGGTGTTGGAGCCTGAGGGACAGAAGGGTGAGTCCTTGCTCTAGTCAAGGAAAACCCAATGCCCTGAGGCAGAGACAGGTACACTGTGAGAACTGAGGGGCCACAGAATTGTAGAGAAGTGTCTATGCCGTAACGTAGGCAATTGTTGGCTGGTATTGGAACAGCAGGGTTCTCAGATATCTCATCATCAGACAATGGGTGAAAATGAGGTTGAACTCAGTGAACTGGGACTATCAGATGGAACATCAAGAGACTAGTACATTACCTCAGTGTGAACTAGTCTACTGCCCTGGCAGTCACTCTCCTCCTCCCCATCTCTCATTATTGTAGACAAGAGATTATCTGACCTGCTGGAGAATGCAGCCTAATACAAAGAGTCAACGGGTGTCCAGATTAATGGGCTGCCTGACAGTCATCTGACAGAAGTCATAGTGCGATTGCAAACCAGGGTAGTAGCAAAACAAACAGGCGAGCAAAAATACTGACGTTCTCCATCTGAAATTAGATAACGATTATGGTTTGCTTCTGCCTACTGACATCTCTCTGTCTAAATCTTACAAAAAGACCAAGGGTAAGAGAGCCAAACAACGAGCCATTATAGAGAAAGACCTCAACCTGACAAAGCGTTGCAATAAAGTTTGCTTTGGATTTTCCAAGGTGTCAGGGTCTGTTCTGGTGTGTTATCCCCATTCAGTGGGCTGATGGAGTAAGCATTTTTTGTGTAAGCGAGATGTCTGTGCTTTAATCCTGTTAGGGGCACTGCCATTAGACTAAACCCCCTCACCCTCCATTTAACCCACGTTCAGCTCTCAATCTCCTTCCTTCCGCCTCCCTCTCCCACAATCACCCCTCTGCTGCCCTGTGCCTCTGCTCCTTTCTGTGTCTCTCTCTGCTCTGTGCCTTTCTTTCTTTCTTTCTTTCTTTCTTTCTTTCTTTCTTTCTTTCTTTCTTTCTTTCTTTCTTTCTTTCTTTCTGCCTTTCTTTCTTTCTTTCTGCCTTTCTTTCTGCCTTTCTTTCCCTCTCTCTCTTTCTTTCTCTATCTCTCCCTGTTTCTCCCTTTCTCTTTTTTTCTGTCTCTGCCCTCAGTCCTCAGAAACTTGTCCACTTGCCATGCCCCCATAACGACTTTGCATCTCCACATCGCCATGGAAACTGCAAACAAGCCTGTGTGACCAATTTCACAGGACTAAAGAAATGACTCATGTGGGTTCTTTTCAGGGGTTACTACAAAGAGGGAAACATTTTTAAAAAATTACCCCACGCATACTTCTCCTTTTCTGCCTTTCACTCCACAATAAACGTTTTTTTAGGGTGTTTAAAGTGGTATCAGAGAAAGTATACTTAGTAAACATTCACAGCTTCTTTCAAGTGAGTGTGAACATTCACAAATTAGGTTAGTTTAAAAGGAGGTTAGTTTAAAAAGAGGTAAGTTTAAAATTAGATACAGTACAGATCAGCTCAATCTTACTTTGAGAAATGACTAGAGATTGCTGCTGCAGGTCTAGTTTCAAGGTCACAGTAAATCCCTCAGCATTAGCATAGTGATGTCATTTATACTGCACATCATACCAAGCTAGGTCATATGGATCCTAACCTTGTGGAGGACTCAGGGAGATGTCCGCTTGTGTACCCGGGCAGTGGGCCTCTTTTCTGGGATGTAACCTCTTACCCCACCATCCTCCAAACCACTTACAGTATTGTGGTGCTAGGTGGTCATGGAATGCCACAAAACAATACAGCTGTGGAGAAAGTGGGGCACATTGTGTGCTTTTATCCATGTGAAGCGAAGCAGGAGGAAGAGGTGCAAGGGGGTGCCCATCCCAAAGCTACCCTCTCAGACCCACAGGCAGTGGGTGTCTTTTCTACTGAAGCTAGCACCACTCCCTCCATCCCTCCATCCCTCCTCCCTCATTCTCTGCACCACATTTTAATAGCAAAGGAGTACAATGAAGTGACTGTCTCCATGCCAGAACCTAGAGACCAACGGGAATCTGGAGAATAATAGATTTAACACGGATTAAGCACAAGTTACAGTACCTGTGCTTGTGCCTCAAGCCCCTTTGGCATTCCCCCTTTTCCCTTGGGCCTCCACACCTGTATTTCAAACACCACTAAATCCACCCCTCATCTGCATGTTCAAAACATCTAAACTTGCCTCTGGCGCAGGGCATCCGTATAGTGACTTGGTGTACCTGTGATTAGACTGGATACCAGCAGGGGAAGCACCAGCATCTGCAGCATCCTCATCAACAGCTCTCCAGGGAAAGAGAAGTACTTCACCTCTCGGTAGGTCATCTTATAGGGACGCAGTGCAAAGCCTAGGATTATACCTGGAGAATCAGAAGAGCTGATTAGTGTGCTTGAAACATGAACATGAAACTGCATGTAGAGCAGAGGACAATGAGAGGCTCTGTGTCTCTCAATCACATCTAGAATGAGGTATGTAGGTGAGTCCTCCCTATGGGATTTTGGATTACAATAGGAGAGCATGGGTTTCAAAGTGTGTGGGTGAGTATGTAGGACTGTTTGTGTGTACTGTGTATGTAGGCCTATGTGTGTGAGTGGAGGGGTGTGTGGCATTGCGGGGGGGGGGGGGGGGGGTTCACTCACCTACAACGACGGCTGCTACAGTAAAGAGCACGAAGGCGTGCTTCTTGAAGAAGGCCTGGACATCTTCTTTAGAGATGTCCTCCACTTTCCGTTTGGCCTTCATGGTCCTTATGTGGATGCCCTCCCGGATCCGCTGCATCCTAGTGTGGGAATCCGAAGCCGGGAGAGTGTCCTCATTACTGGTCATGACTGCAGACAGGACTAGGGGTGTCTCACACACCTCTTAGACACCCAGAGAACCTGAACCAATGGGTCGGACCGGCCCTTACCTTGGTGATAGCTAGTGGAGAAGAGATGAAATGACACATGACAATACACGTGCAGTTGAAATGGCACATGACAATACACGTGCAGTTGAAATGGCACATGACAATACACGTGCAGTTGAAATGGCACATGACAATACACGTGCAGTTGAAATGGCACATGACAATACACGTGCAGTTGAAATGGCACATGACAATACACGTGCAGTTGAAATGGCACATGACAATACACGTGCAGTTGAAATGGCACATGACAATACACGTGCAGTCGAAATGGCACATGCAGATGTTCACATTGACATTGCAATGCAGTTGATAAGAGAAAAAAGGATAGCTTCTTTTTCTTATAGCAAATCTTGACCATATGGTGTGTAGTCAAAATAACAAACAACGTACATAAATTGATATTTTCATGATAAAATAGTCACACAACCTTGAGAAGAGAGCAAGTAATTTTAGTCCCAACATAAAAGCCAGCATTTTTTTCCATTATGAAACCATCAATGACAAGCGTCAAAGACCCTGAACACAGGAAGCATGGAACCCTGCAGGTGCAGATCTGCATCCATAATACACCATGGCAACTCATCAGTCTATCCTGGAGGATATTTATTCATTCGAAAAAACTCATGCACACCTGAAAAATGGAATAACAAAAACTATCAATTGCGCTTTCTTTAAAAAAAACATTACCCTTAGAGGAAATGTGTTTGTGCCTTCATGCATTAAAGAGATGCCCCCTCATGCATTAAAGACACTTAACAGAAAGCACCTTACACCTCTGTATGTTCTCATTGGAAAGGCATCATTTGTCAATCAATTGTTTGATTGAAAATGCCAGTTGGCAACACTCTGAACAAACTTCACATTTTGATACAAAGATTTTGTTTGCATTTCAATGAATATAAATGATGTGGGCATGTTACTTTAGATAGTGTAAAATCGGAACAAAGGATGAGACCTTTCATGCATGACCACATCAACAGTATGGAGCCCTGGCATACAGATAAAACAACACAAGTGCCACACAGACCTGGCCATTCCCTTGGACAACACTAACAACAACTCTCTCTCTGAAGCAGTTGTTAGGTGCTTCAAGAAAACTTTAAAAGTGGCAAAACAAAATGCTGACCTTTCACCAGTGTAGATGTTCCCTCTTTTGACCAACTCCTCTTCCTGACGATGCTCAGGGTTATACTCAGCCTGAGGACAGGTCAGGCAGGCAGGCAGAGAGCAGCAGTGGAGGAGGTCAGCAGTGGGTCCGTCAAGTAGGCAGAGAAGGGAGGAGAGATAGAGACTGGGAGATGGAGTGAGAGAAACGGGCACACAGAGAATGGTAGATGTGCGTATATGTTCTCTGAAGACAACTGAAGCAATCCCTCATACTCCCATTCTCTGAAGAGGGAGGAGACTTTAAAACTCAGAGAGAGAGAGGGAGGAGGAGGCAGTGGGGGGGAGATGGTAGCCCTTCCTATGTATTGTTTTTCTATTACTTTTACACTGTTTCAGTTGACACACTATCTCTCTATGATTTGGGGGATGTTATGTACCTAACTCATTCCAATGAAAGACTGCCCTCAGTGATGCTCAGAAAGCAGAAGTGAGTAAGAGTGGACAGTAGGCTATGCTTTATACATTACATTTACATTTTAGTCATTTAGCAGACGCTCTTATCCAGAGCGACTTACAGTTAGTGAATACATTTTTTTTTTTATACTGGCCCCCCGTGGGAATCGAACCCACAACCCTGGCGTTGCAAACACCATGCTCTATCAACTGAGCTACATCCCTGCCGGCCATTCCCTCCCCTACCCTGGACAACGCTGGGCCAATTGTGCGCCGCCCATGAGTCTCCCGGTCGCGGCCGGCTGCGACAGAGCCTGGATTCGAACCAGGATCTCTAGTGGCACAGTTAGCACTGCGATACAGTGCCTTAGACCACTGCGCCACTCAGGAGTACACTCTTAGAAAGTATACACTCTTATACACTCTTAGAAAGAAAGAAAAGGTGCTATCTAGAACTCAAAAGGGTTGAGGGTTCTTCGGTTGTTCCCATTAGAGAACCCTTTGAAGAATCCTTTTGGGTTCCAGGTAGAACCATTTTGAGCTCCATGTAGAACCATTTCCACAGAGGGTTCTACATGGAACCCAAAAGTGTTTTATCTGGAACCAAAAAGAGTTCTACCTGGAACAAAAAGGGTTATCCTATTGGGATGGCCGAAGAACCCTTTTGGAACCCTTTTTTCTAAGAGTGTAGACTAGATGCAGGTTGACCAATTTCTGTAGAACATTCTCAGTTGCTTACTCATGCAAACTGCTGCATTTTACTCAGAAGGCATATCTTTCATCTCCACTCACCTCTCACTACTCCTCTTCTCCCTCTGCCCTGCTTTCCTCCTCCCACCTATCTTTTCCTTTCCCATCTTCCCTCCTCCCCATCCTCTCCTCTATCCTCTTCCTCTCTCTGCTGGGCTATTCATCCCTCACTGGAGTGCTTCAGAAACAGATAAAGCCTGTGGACCTGTAGGCATGCTCTGCTCCAGCCCAAGGTGGTAGGGCTCTCTCCCTCTGCTTCAGTGTAACCTCTCCCACAGTCCTGACAAACAGGAGCTTTCATTATCAGCAGCAGTGATGTTGCTGGCGAAGGAAGCCCTGGATCTGACTGTCAGTGTCTAGTGCCGTAAGATCAGCATTAGTTCCAAGACACTTTGAAGTATTGAAATATAATTCGGAGTATTTCACAAAAAAATAAGTTTGATGTGCGACAACAGTGCACCATTTCAAATGCGCAGTAAATCTCTGTCAGATATTGAGATCAATAGTAAAATCACCTCGACAACTCTCTAGAATTCTTCCAACACACAGAGCCAAGTTGGTCAAGCAGAATGTGTGTGGTTACTGTGGTAGTAGCCTTCTGAGAACACATTCTCATTTACAGGAACGACCTAAGAAATAGTTACAGGTCAGAGGAGGGAGGATGAATGAGCCAATTAGAAGCTGGGGGTGATTAGATGGCCAGATTGGGAATTTAGCCAGGACACCAGGGTTAACACCCCTACTCTTACGATAAGTGCCATGGGATCTTTAGTGACCACAGAGAGTCAGGACACCCGTTTAACATCCCATCCGAAAGACAGCACACTACACAGGGCAATGTCCCCAATCACTGCCCTGGGGCATTGGGATATTTCTTTAGACCAGAGGAAAGAGTGCCTCCTACTGGCCCTCCAACACCACTTCCAGCAGCATCTGGACTCCCATCCAGAACCAACCCTGCTTAGCTTCAGAGGTAAGCCAGCAGTGGGATGCAGGGTGGTATACTGCTGGGTTGAGCAAAAGGCTGATGGGGTACATACAAGGACATGGCTCCCAACACAGTCTAAACAAGAATATGCTTGATTCTGTGTTTCTGTCACATTACTAATCTAAAACCAGGTAAACGGATGAATAGCTACTATGCAGAACACCACTGCAAGATTAGAATAATTTGAACCAATTATCAACAACAATTGATTGTTATTGATTACTGCATTGTTGGTGTTGAGCTTGCAAGAAAGGTATTTCACTGAAACTTGATAAAGTATTTGCTTGTATGGGGCCCACTTAAATGCTGAGCGTGACATGTGTGGTTGACTCACTTGTTGGAAAACACAAAATCCAGATATTGAACACTAATCATGATAAAGACTTGCTGTGTACGTTGTTTACATTGTTCTATAAGTTCGTATCCATACACCACTGACATTCCTCCAGCCTTATGCCCTCTTCTCTGGGTCTTCAGGATTAGATAACTTCCTTTCCTTCGGTGTGTTTCCCAAATTAGAGCCTGATAATGTCTCTTTGTGTTCGGCCATGGCTTACCCTAAGGATGCAGTTAAACCAGAGGCAGCCTTTGGGGCTCACGGGCCATTGGGGCGCCCTGATTCAGGGGGGATTTCAGGGGCCTCTGGTTGGAGATGTGGCAACACGTGAGATGGGCCTGACTGCATCAGTGGGCCTGACAGCTTCAATGGTGCATTTCCCGGCAACCATTCAACAGATTAGCTGAGATTCTAGACTTTCAGGGATACCCTCATTTGCAGAAAGTTTTTTTTTCCTCATATACACACACTCACAAAATAAACAGACCCCTGTGTGATGATACAGATATGAACGCTACAAGACATTATATGGACAAGTGTGGGGGTGGTATTGCTTTAATACAGGGGTCTTTAACCTTTTCTTGCCCAGGGACCCCTGCCCAGGAAAACCGCAGACCCAGGAAGCACCATCATATATTTGTGTTGTATGTGTTGTAGATGCGTTATCATCAGGTGAATGATAATGGCAAGGAGAAGTAGTTAACATTTTTAAATGAATAGATTTGAAAGTTTGTTTTTTATTATTTAGACCTCCTCACGTTATAATTGAAAGAGGAAGTGTAAACTCTAACATAGCCTATTAGCTAGAAAGGTAACTCCAAACACATTTTAGCCATGTGTTGGCAAAAATGTCCAAATCAAGAAAGCTTACCAGCAGCCAGCGCCACTTGTCAGGACTGGTAGCCTACTTGCGGTTGCTTTTATAAAGCCTATAATAATAATAATTTGGTGAATTCTTATATTTGTCCTATATCACACATGTACAACTCAAATCACATTTATTTGTCACATGCGCCGAAATACAACAGGTGTAGCCTTTACTGTGAAATGCTTGCTTACAGCCCTTCCCAACGATGCAGAGTTAAAAAATAATAATAAAAAGAGAAATAGTTACACAAGAGGAATAAAATACACAAGAATGGAGCTATATACAGGAAGTACCAGTACCAGATCAATGTGCAGCGTAAATGTTTTCACTGATATATCTGAACCCGATTACCCGAGATCCAACCCGGTATCTGAACAGGTCGGATCCAAAATTCTGTAGTTGAGCCGTGGAT